TGTTGTTTGAAAAGGTGGTACCCAAGCTTTAAGTAGACAGGAGGTGAAACATTGAGGGAACTGTGAATAAACAATAAAACCCTCCCCCACACACAGACCTCCTGAGCTCCATCAGACTGAGGGCGTGTCAACCTTGGCTCCATCTCACCTGATGACACACACAAACATCCGCAGATTATAATTGCATTCATGACATTTTCTAAAGTCATCATCTCAAGCAGAGGGCAGCTGTCTTATAGTGTGCTACACAATAACACAAAACAGCGAGGTCCAACCTGCAATTATGCTTGAGCTAATGACTCAAAACATCTCCGTTCAGAATATTAAGAGTAAGAAATGTGGAAGGAATTTGAAATTATGTTTCTCTCCACAGGGTCCATTCTGCACAATAGACTTTCCACAACTAATGACCGTTTGAGAGACTCTACAACCACACATACGGGGAGGGAGAACCGGGGGAAACAAAATGGACTGAACACTTTGCATGAATAACCTGAGCAGTGTTTTTAGAAGCTGAAAAGCAGAATGTATATTTATTTTTTCATATATCTATAGGAGGAATAGACTTCACTGACTCTGTGGTGGAGCGAGGCTTTTTCTGTGACAAGGTTTTGCTGACGTGGGGGCGGAGCACAGAGCCAAGCGGCGAGACGAGAGCCGGACATGGACGTACTCAGACTTGTGAATACCCTGGCTTTTGTTCTGTATTTCCCATGCACCAGTGGTTAAAGGACAGAAGGACGTGGATGCTCCGGGCCTTTGCGTTACAGAAGACCTGGGGAGGGTCCTGGTAGGTCGCCCCTATGCTGTGGCAGCACTGGTCCAATGATGTGTATATCAGACAAAATCAATGGCTGTTGTGATAAGCACAATTGAAAGTCTGCTCATTGGTTCTGTGAATGTGTGGTTCAGTAACATCACAGTCAAAGAAAGGAGAGCTCTAAACAAGGTGCTCCGCTCTGAAAGAGGACTGTGAGCTGCCTGTTCTGGAGGTTCTTTATGAATCCAGACTCCTGAATCGAGCTCTTCAAATAATCAGTGACTCTTCTGGCCCCAGAAAAAGCCTGGCTCCAGATTTCCCCCCTCCTGGCGGAAGATATTGTTTGCTGAGATGCAGGGTATGCTAGTAGCTTCTTTCCTCAAGCTGTTATCAGTTTGAACAAAGCACTTTAATGATCTTGCATCCGAATTAAACCTGTTTTTGTTGATGGTTTTCACAGTGAAAATTGTTCCACGTACTTTTTATCTTCTGTTAGTTAATACATGATAGAACACAATGAAAGCCGCCCACTGGTTGTTGAAAAATACTTAGAGTATTAGAAAATATCAGACACAAAAACCTATTGTTTTAGATCAAAAATACAATTTCAAATATACGAGCAATACATATAAGAATGGACCCCCGCTGTACGCAGACACCATCAAGTCTGCTTTAAAGAGAAATATACGGAAAGATTGAGCTGAAATATGGTGCTAAAACATGTTGCAACCAATATTAGCTTGTTTGACATACCATTTCTGTCAGACCTCTGAAGCTAAGTAGGGCAGGGCCTGGTTAGTAATGTGATGGGAGAATTCTGTGAACACCAGATACCACAGCGGGGCGCCTGTAAAATGCCAAGACACATTAGAATGAGTCTGGTTCGTGTGAATGGTTGGTGGTGGTGGGAAGGGCCGATGGCACAGATTGAATGCCTTGCCTCTGTCTGTGTGCCCCTGGGCAGCTGTGGCTACAGTAGTTGTGTATCACTACTGGGTATGGAGTTAATGATGACATGTGAAGAGACTTTGAGCGTCCAAAAAAACAACATTAAAACAAACGCATTATTATTATTATTATTATGAAGATGTTTTTGTTTTAGAATGCAGAATTAACCTGCAGGATTCATTCTCCCCTCAGGAAATGTGTTTATTTACTCAGAGCTAATGATGGTTTATGTGTGGGGTTGTGAAAGCAGCAGACAGTGAACATGGCCACTGGGCTCAGGCGACAGCCCAATTCTGATCTGTAACTTGCCACTTCTCATCTCTTAATTTGCTAAGATTATGTTATTATTGAATATGAGCATTACAAACAGCACTGAACAAACCTCATTCTGAGCAGCACAGCCGCTCCCCCTCTCCAAACTTCAGGCTTCATCTGGTGCTGGCAAATGTGATGAGGCTGTGTTAATGCTTGACAGCCCCAGTGCATTCTGGGATGTTCACAGAGAGTTTTTGTGTCTGAGGGTGTGTCTGTCTGAGCATGTATGTGTGTGTGTGTGTGTGTGTCTGAGCGTGTATGTGTGTGTATCACACCACAGCAGCACTGAGGCCCATTGTATCTCATTCTGTTGATAAAGACTGGACACATACGCACGCGCACACACACATGCACACACACACACAAATACAACTCCACACTACATACTCACTACCAATCAAGTTGGAGAATGTGTAGACTTAAATAAACCTGGCCCGAGTTATATGTTGGGTTTAACTGCTTTTATTGATGCAGTGAAACCTGCAAAGAAACTAAAGCTCGGGACTTTGTCTGAAGAGAGAGCTCTGTTTCCAGGGAGACGGGCAGGCGGCAGATGCTCCGTCAGAAATTTAACAGTCCATTCTGTATATAGACGTGCCACCTCACAGCGAGGAGGCTTCTCTACACTCTCATATGATCTCACTGTTAGTTTTGTTCATTTTGGTCCTTAACCCCGTATCGTCATTTGTATCAAATGTAATGCATGCCTTTCTGGGCTCCTACACAATCACTGTGTTGTGTAGGAGCTGTGTTTTAGAGCATTACACATTGTGTTTTAGTGTACTACATATTTGGTAACTATTCTGACAAAATTATCAGAATCAACCACCAACAACCTTCCACACACACACACACCAGAGACATAGACAATGTGGGTGAAGTGTCTTGCTTGAGTAAGGAGTCCAAAGGAGATGCAGTGTAGCAGGTTGTCGCCGGAGTGCTAATGTACACCTATTGTGCATATGTACAAATGTACGCCTGTGGTCCCTGGTTATTGTAAAACAGTGAAGACCTTTCTGTCCTGTAAAGTCTCAATGAATCCATGTCCCGTGTAAACGTCTGTGATCTCTGCTCCGTGTCACATGATGCTCCACAGACGAACCACGCATTGGTTTGAGTGATAGCTGTGAGCGAAGAGTCCTGTCTCCATCACAGTCTCTCTCTGCATTATTCATGTCCTGCTCCTGTGGGCTGCTGCTGAAACGCTCCTGTGAGAGATCCAGGTATTTGGAAGTCTGATTTGGGCTCTACGGCACCACATGGTGATGAATGGGGCTTCTCCAGACCTTCTCCAGACCTTTTCCAGACCCTGTGGACCCTCCTGACTCTCCAGGCCATGGGTGGAGTCTGGTGTGCTGCTGCTTGGTTGGAATTAAAACCTGAAGCCACACCAACCCTCTGTGTGCCTGTTTGACATCCATAGACTTCCGCCTCATTGCCCATAATGAGTTAACGGTGAAGATGTTCTCAGCGGCCGATGGCACCTTCTGTCCTTGTTGCCTCACTTCTGCCAGTGTGCCACAGGGCAGCGGTGTTTACACAAGTAGTTTATCACCATTGTGTAGGGAGTGAATGAATAATGACACGTGAAGCATCTTAAAGTCTGCACAAAAGCGCTATTGAAAACCGATGCATTATTATTATCAGGAGTATATTCCAGACCATATTCTCTGGTTTCTGTTGTGATTCATGTACAAAAATGTTTTCGACAACATCACGCTGTCTAATGATAGTTTCAGAAGTCTATTCTTACAATTTACTTTTATGATACGGATATACGTATTCATTTAATCAATTGTTTTTCTTTCACTGTCTCCTGGATCTTCCCCTTGTGGGTCACCTCCCAAACAGACGTCCTGCAACTCAGCTCCTGGTGATGCAGAAGAGAAAACATTATGTTATGGAAGCTGCCAAACTCTGTGGAGTGTGATTCTAAAGTTCAGATCAGAAACTGACTGTGGATGAATTGTGTTGAAACATTTTCAAACATGAATTACTCCTGGAAGAGTGTAGGATTAGACCGATTAATACAACATTCTATTAGTGTGGGTTGAGCTAAACACATCTCCAGGTTTTGTCTTGAGGAGGTGTACCACCTTTGGACTATTCTTCAGATCTACAGTTCATAGTCTACAGCCTGAGTCCTGGATCTACAGCCCGTCCGCCCATGGGAGTGGATCCCTCCTGCCATGTGGGCCTCCCAGAGGTTCCTCACTTTCTCCTTGCCAATGCAGTCCAAGGAACGTGGTGAACACTTGACATTCAACGACATTTATGGACCTTAATCCCTTATGGACCGATGGCTCTATGTTTTTTTCACAATACATTTCTTGTGTTTGAGCTGTTTGATCCTCTGATATCTGTTGGCAAATTCAACAGTTTTGTAAATGTCCGGAAATAACTTCCGCTATACCAGAATACATTTTATTAAATTGAATCGAAGATAAAAAACCATAACTACAGAGCTGACACTTTTTAGAATGCGCTGTAAACGGCAGCAAGTTATAAACAGGTCTGAAACAGTTGTTGTTTTGTGCTTCACAATTTTTATTATTAATGGTTTTTTCTATCTGAGATGTTGCGGCTGTACAGTGTTCATGGTTTTGCACTGGTCCAGACTGGAGCGAAGAGGATTCATGGACCGAACTAAGCGGATCAATCAAAAATACACTGCAGAAATGCTAATTTTTTAACTATGCAAATAAAGCAATCAGTCTCTCACTTTGGACTAGAGCAGAGACAATGGTCCGAACCAAGCGGCTGCTCCACCCCTACCTCAGTGACCTAAAGTACTGTTGCATTTCAATACTATTTTTAGCTACTTTTAGATTTATTTATTGCTTTGTTTTTTTCTTGTATGGATGGATGTGTTTCTGCTGCTACTGATTTCTAATTTCTAATTTCTCCTACGGGGAATCGTATCTATCTCTGTGTCTGAAATGGTGCTGAGCATTCCATGATGGTTCCCGTTGGTTAGGCTGTGTGAGCTCTGAGGCTCGGTGCGCCCTCAGCGGAGACACAGCGGATCTGAGCTGGAACGTGTGGGCGTGCACTGGATGTGGTCGCCATGGTTACGTCTGTCACCTCGCATGCGTGGGGTGAGTAGGCAGCTCTTCTCCACATGGGTCTGGGAGACTCCTGGGCCTGCTCAAGTGCAGGGCATATGCCAGCTGCTCGGGACGCATTCACACTGAGGACTTCTCCAGGATGAAGATGAGAGGAGGGCCCACTTATGAGAGGAGAGGAGTGAAGACGGAGCCGAAATACGGGAAAGCAACAGTGTACATGTGTGGCAGGACCTGTAGGTTCGCCTCAGTGATGAGGGATGATGAGGAGTGGGTTGTGGGAGTGGGTTCCTGTGAATAGGATCCTACTTTGTTCCTTTGTTCACTTTTAGTTCAGATATGAAGTGGGTCTAATGATGCCATAATCCCCCACAAAGCGCTACAAAGACCACTGATAAAATGTGCATCTTGAGGGTGAGATTGTGATGGACATTGATTTCAATTGTCTTTTTCTGAAATTACACAAAATTAGTGAATAATCCACTCAGTGTATAATGTCTGTTATCTCCAATCCACAATCTTAGGAGCAGAGAGAGGAGCACACTGCAGGAGTACTGTCAGAGAGAACAGTAGACAGGATCGCTCTGAGAAGCTGAATGAACATGGCTTCAATCAGCTATGAACTTGGTCATTGCTCTGTTTCGGTAACTGTCTTGGTCTGCTAACACATAAGCCCTGTTTCCACCAGCCTTGTTCTACTCTCCACCACTATACTCTCAACACTACTCTACTCTACACTACCCAATCCCAATTGTGAGTCTTTCCATTGGCCCTGTTTAACCAGTACTGGGTCCTTCTTTTGTCCCTCTTGGCCCTGGTTCTATCCAGGCCAAGCTGGTACTAAAGCGTTCTAACAGACAGTGATTGGCCAGAGTGCAGCTGGAATATCCTCGGTTACTGGTTAGTTGTGGGTCGTTTTCTAGGATATGGTACCAGATACTGAAGCGTAATGGAAACACAGCCAGGTAGAGTATAGAGTAGGGTCATGTTTGTGTCTTTAAATTAACACACACCTTCCCCCAACCACAATAATAATACTATTTATTGCTGCTTTTAGTTTCACTTTCACAGGACACATTCCACCACAACTGTGTGTTTTGTATCATACACTAAGATGTGCACAGGCTGCACTGCAGAAGGAGAATACCTAGTCATGCTCAAAATTAAGTTTCTGATCTTGATGTAAAATCCTCAGATTATTTTGATTCAAGATTTGTTTTTACAGTCTAAAACATGGAAGTAAATAATCCCAAGATCATGTTTAAAGCTAAAATAAACACAAATGATGGACCGATTAGTGCCATAAGTTTTTGTTTAAGGATTTAAAGAATTTTTTTAACATTTCTGGGACAGTGGCCATCCCGCTCCCTGTGGGCCTTCTATCTGTGTTTTATCATTGCACTTCCTGAGTTGAAACAGTTTAATTCTCTGATCTGTTGTTGAAGAATCGACAATGTTGTAAAGCCCTCCGAAAAGACTGCTATTTTGATTTAGGGCGGCTTAAAACATTTATTGAATTGGATTGAATGGTTTGTGGATGGAGCTATAAAGAGAACTCCAGGGTGAGTTTTTGACAACATTCAAGAACAACCTCCTACTATAATCAGACCCAGATGATTTAGCAGATGCACTATTACAGTCCATATCATAATAATGGCCCCACATAAGCACAACCAGCTCTCATCTCCTCATGCATTAGCAGCGTTTGTGTCTTTAACTGGATGAGCGCCTTGCCCTCGCCTCGCCTCTTAAGCACCAGAACACTCCGGTTAGCACTAAGCCGATAGCGCCGCTCCGAATCATCTCATTTGAACTCTGACTCTTAAACCGCTGGAGTGGAGAAAACGCCTAAAAACTCATCAACGAAACAACTTTGGGAACAATCTCTTTCCCTTCTCCACCTCCACAGCGGTCTTCATTATAAGAGCACTGTTGGATTGTTGGCTGTTTTTCACTGTCTGTCCCTGTGCGCCTATAAGTTGTCACGGTGAAATTGCCTCAAAGGGCCAGGGCCTGGGAGACGTAATGTTCCCTGGAGAGGTGCTCGGCTTTATCGGCTTGTCCAGAGCCAACAGGCCTATTAAAAACCTCTTGCAGCTTTTCTCTTAACAAATACGCCAGGCTATAAAGGCGGCGCTGTTTTGGGACGGGCGGAATTGGCAGAGAGGGCTTTGTGCGTGTGTTATGGCTTTGGGGTTAGGCTTAGGTGATATCGCACAGCAAGCACGCGTTTGGACTTGTCAAAATACAGACACTTCATTGGCTTTTGTTGCTCTCGGAAAAACAGAATTGCGTTCATTTATATTTGATTGCACTGGGGGTCTTGTCAGCAGCACACCTCCTGCAGCAGAGTGTCACGGAGGCAAGCTTAGTGTTGGCGTGAGGAGGATGCTCATGACGACGTAGGGGAGAGGCCTCAGGGCGGGGCTTCCAGAGAGCGTTCAGATCCTGCAGCCGATACATGTGCAGATCAAGCATCATGTGTGTTTGTGTGTGTTCATGTCGGCCTCTGGAAATCACCGTCACAACGTTTCTTATTCAAGTTATTCAATATGAGTAATTTTGAGAGAAGAGAGAAGAGCAGAGAGAGGAGCAGAGAGAGGAGCAGAGAGAGGAGCAGAGAGAAGAGCAGAGAGAGGAGCAGAGACAGGACCTGAGAGAGGAGCAGAGAGAGGAGCAGAGAGAGGAGCAGAGAGAAGAGCAGAGAGAGGAGCAGAGACAGGACCTGAGAGAGGAGCAGAGAGAAGAGCAGAGAGAAGAGCACAGACAGGACCTGAGAGAGGAGCAGAGACAGGACCTGAGAGAGGAGCAGAGACAGGACCTGAGAGAGGAGCACAGACAGGACCTGAGAGAGGAGCAGAGAGAAGAGCAGAGACAGGACCTGAGAGAGGAGCAGAGAGAAGAGCAGAGACAGGACCTGAGAGAGGAGCAGAGACAGGACCTGAGAGAGGAGCACAGACAGGACCTGAGAGAGGAGCAGAGAGAAGAGCAGAGACAGGACCTGAGAGAGGAGCAGAGACAGGACCTGAGAGAGGAGCACAGACAGGAGCAGAGAGAGGAGCAGATAGAGGAGTAGAGTGAGGAGCACGGCAAAATAACTTTCAAAATCACAGTGGTTTTATTCAAATGAATACATCTGAATAAAATAGTTCGTCAACACCCTTTATCATTTGATATTAAGAGATGATTATCTACAAATCTTCCCAGGAGCACACTGACACATGTGGAAAGACTTCAAACGTGCAGTTGTTGGGAGAAAACACATTGTAATATATCCACTTTGAAAAGCTCTCCCTGACCTCGGTGTGTCCAGTCTGTCCCTGTATCAGAGCCGAGCTTCACTCCACTAACTGCCCGACTTTATATAATCCAAGTCTATTTGCTTATTCAGTGTAATGGCACAGATGCGGCGCGTTGAAATGGAGAAGTGTATCTAATAAATCTTATCCAGTGGCCACTCTGACGGAGAGGCAGTGGAGCGCGCGCCTGTGAAATGGCTTTCTGCTTCTCAAACACACAATATCACATCTGCAGCTGCGGCAGGACGATCTGCCCGAGGGAGGGGCGGCTGTCCAGAAGACCCCTGTCTGCTGTGAGGAGAATACCAACAACATTCTTGTTTACTAAGTAGAAAATCATATGGATAAACATGGACGAGGACCGAGGGGATGAGCCAGAGTATTGAAACACCTCCATCTAGTGGCCGTAGTACAGAAGTACGTTCATTTTCTATGAGGAACTAACAAAACTTGTTACTTGTTTAAAAAGGAACAGCTCTTTATCTGAGGGGGCGGGGGCTCGTCTCAATGTCGCTGAGGAGTTTCAAGGACTATTCGTTGTAATGGGAGGGGAAACCGGAGCACCCGAAGGAAACCTATGCAGACACAGGGAGAACACCACAAAAAAGACCTGTCTGGAGATGTTTTTGTAATAAAATAATAAAAGGGTTTCTTCTGTCACTAGTTTTCACATTCATGTCATTTTAACCTCGAGAACCTGATCTAAAGATGAGAATGACAGAAAAGCGATGAAGCCAAACAGCTATTAGGTATAAAAAGTTAGGCACCCTAACTTTAAGTGAAAATACTGCAGGTGGAATCAAACCCAGGACAAAGCAGTCAAACAGATTTAAAAACTGCTTTTATTCAGATTAACTTATGTTTCATTGTTTCTAAAACATTTAGGTACTTCTGGATTTTGTCTGCATCAGATTATTATATGGCTCACTCCACACTAAACTGTACTAAAGTGTTACATTTGGGTCAATGACACAAAAAAGTCCCGAAATGACCGCGACAGCTACTACTGAATGTTCACAGCACCCACTCTTGTTTTGTTCCATTGTATTTGTCCAGTGAAAGAAGCACTACTTAAACACTGATTCCATCGACAGCGCTCTAAGACAGCCATTTTGGATATAACAAAAGTGGACATGATTGCTATATCCTCAATGCCCAGTTTGTATGCCGTTATTCAATTTTTTATTGTAAAATCTAACCCTTAATGTAAAATCTTAGGTTGATTACATTTATATCCCCAACTATTAGCCATTAAATAGTCTTCTGTCCAGATAATTCTTGACATGTCCTAAATGTATCAGTTGTGTCCCCAAGTACTTTAAAAAAATTTGAAAGGCCTCCATTGTTCTTGAAATGGTTTTGATCTGAGATTATACTATACTGTATATCTATCTATAAGTGGCATAGTATTATTAGATAAAAAAAATTTTGGTTCATACATTTATTTTATTGTCGCACAGTTTAGTGTGGAGTGAGCCATATTTAGCCAAAATTATGGCTTTGAAACGTTCATCTTTTGTCCCTGGGCAGAGGCAGTTTTGCTGTGTGCAAAAAAATAACACATGAAATGGCCTAATTAACATTTGATACACAGAGAAACACAACATCCACATAGACACACACACGAGTGAAAATACACTAACATTAGAGACTGTATACATCATTATCAAACTCATTGACTGCCAGCCCATTTCAAAACAGGTACTCCCATATTGCCAGCCGTTTCTGGTGGTTTTTACTGATTTTTCAAGACCCACAGAATATTGTGTACTTTGACTATCTGAAATCTAAAACTAGATTCTGAAAGAATGGGCTGTCTACTCTCACCAGCAAAAAGAATTTTGTTTCTATCTTGTTTAGTTCTTCTGTAATCCCCAGTTGAGTAGAGGGAAGTTTTATTGAAATCACCAGAAAGCTGAGAAAAAAGGGCCACAAACAGTGCATCTAGCTGTGTTCAAACCATTCATAGCGCAATGCTGCCATCTGCTGGCTCCATAAAGTATTGCCTCAAGCCAATCTCCACATATTAGATTCAATGGACAGCTGGGAACGTAAAAATAGCGGGAAACGCAATTGACGTGTTAACACGTCATTGGCAGACAACGTTACTATTTAGTTTGACGTGTTAACACGTCAATGGCAGTCAATGAGTTAAGCTCTAAAGACTAATGGTTTACACACATTCATAACCCTGTGGCTGCATTGCTGACCTGAAATCGTTTACACTAATTGACATTCGCTAAACATTCCTCTTGCCCCGGCTTCAATTTCTTGATATTTGGAGCCTAATCAGAACGGATTACTTTACTACCGTATTTGCCGCCATTGCCAAACTACAACCAGCAAACACTGTGCAAACTCGTCACTGACACCTACCCACAACATCCGCCTTCTCCACTCGCTGATTGGTCGGATGGGATACAACCGAGGTAACTGCAGCCACTAGGATCAGACCCAGACGTACATGTAGGAAATGATAATTGACCCAAATTTACGGATGGCTAAGGTCAAGCCATCCATTCTGTTCTGGTTTAGTTTCAGTTGGGATGATCTAGGACACGCAACACTCAACTTATTATTTCATTCGTTTAAACTGTTTTATTTTTCCAGAGAACTACTGTTTAATTATTGAATTGAAAGAACATGACCCTGTGCCCCATTGGTTTCCCTCTAAACTAAACCCAACATGAGGTGTGCGTACGCATGCTCATCTGCATCCTTGTTGCTGTGCACGTGCGTGGCCCACAGCTCCTAAATGTGACCTTTTCTCATGTGAGCGCTGCATCCATCACGCCGCCGTGAGCATGCAGACCGGCGCCGTGTGTGCGTACATGAGCCGCTCACAGAGAACATGTGTCAAACAGCCGCCCCGACACGCCACATTTACATAAATGGATGGATTACTGCAGCGCGTACACGTGCGAGGACTGTCAATGTGTGCTTTTAAGCTGATGTACCTGACTCTACAAGCACTGACATCATCTCTGTAATAGAATCCATGCAACTCAAGTCTGAACCTGTCAATATTCAATAGTCATTTAAAAAAGAGAAAATATTGCCATTAGTGAAATCAGAGAGGCTCACAAAGTGCTCTTTACTGAGTAATTTTTGCAACCCCAGGTCTATTTTAGTGCCATATAAATAAAGTGTTACCCCTTGATGAGTAAAATCTTTCACATTTTCTTCCAATAACAAAACAAAAACATTGTAGTGCAATGATTTTGTCAAATGATAATAATGAATGGGTTTTATACTGTGTTTTTTTAAGTAGGTAAGCATGTAATCTATATTTCCTGTACAGTATATAGCCCCTTTCACAGACCAGAGTCACAAAACGCTTTACAATTGTGGCCATTCTTCTCTCACTCCACACAGAGATGGGAGTGAGGTCACCATACAGGAGGCGCACTATTGTACTTGTCTTTAGCTCAGCCACTGTGCTGCCCGTGTTTTTGAGCGCTCAAAGGCGATTCACATGTCATTATTCTGTCATTGTGGGGCACGCTGACAGAAGCAAAGCAACCCCTCACATGCACACCAGACTCATTCTAGGCAATGTTGTTGGAGTGTCTTGCCTAAGGACACAGCGACAGCAGGCACCTGGTGTTCCTAGAGCTCTACAGGATCTGGCTTTCACCTGCTTGTATGGCAGGTATTATTCAAAAGGAGAAATCTGTTTGTGCAAATCAACTATTTTTTCTGATTTTTAGCAGAAATACATCAAATAAGAATCTAGACTTTACAGTTTTTGTAAGAATTAATACATGTTTAAACCCAGTGGGAGGTGTGGGAGGAGAGGGAAGAGCAGGAGGGAAGGGAAAAGTGGGAGATGTAAGAGTTTGATCTTTTTTGTATGTATGGTGTGTGAAGGAGGACTCTGAGGAAGGAGAGCTGGAAATGAGAACATTACACAGAAAACAAGTCAGAGTCAGAAGCTGGACATTGGCCACAAGTATCTGAAGGTAGTTGTCGGTCAATTAAACAGAATTTGACAAAAGGACGAGAAAAAATGTGGGGTTTTTCAGAGACAAGCTAATTCTCACGTGGAATGAAAAATATATGAACTACTGTCTGTGTCGGTGGAATGAGCTCAAAGGAACAAAGTCATAACCACTGACCGTACAGAAGTGTCTCTCACCGATTTGAGTTTTAAAAGCGGTGGTTTAATGCTCTGTATGTCCCCAACGCTGTATGTATGTTGTGTGTATGTGCAGCATGTGTTTGTATGTATGTGTGTGTTTGTTTGCAGCAGGTGTTACAGTAGTGTGTGTGCGCGTGTATATGTGCAGCAGGTGTGTCCGGGTGGGGGTGTGGTTGTGTGTGCAGAACTTGTTTGTGTGTGTGTGTGTTTGCAGCATGTGTGTGTGTGTGTGTGTGTTTGTGCCTGTGTGTGTATGTGCAGCATGTGTGTTTGTCCGGGTGGGACATACTGTACACATATGCTCCCAGTGAGGGCTGAGTCTGGGACAGGGGCTGGGACAGGGGCAAGGGCAGGGACTGGGACAGGGGCAGGGTCTGGGACAGGGGCAGGGACTGGGACAGGGGCAGTGGCAAGGGTGGGGACTGGGACAGGGGTAGTGGCAGGGGTGGGGACTGGGACAAGGGCAGGGGCAGGGACTGGAACAGGGGCAGTGGCAGGGGTGGGGACTGGGACAGGGCACAGTGGCAGGCGTGGGGACTGGGACAGGGGCAGTGGCAGGGGTGGGGACTGGTACAGGGACAGGTGCACGGACCAGGATTGTGAGAGGAGAAAAGACAGGGATTAAAGTGTGGAGATGTGTTTGTGTGTTGTATTGATTTGAGAAGCTTTGACTTTGAGGTAAGAGATCTCCTGATGGAACAAGGCCAAACAGAAAACAGTCAAAATACTGTAGAGCAATAATGTTGTCACACACATATGCATACACGCGCGCACACACACGCACACACTGATCTCAGGCCCTGGGTCAGCTTGTGCCCTCTATCTGGGGGAGGTCAGGGGCATCCCACACCAGTCACAACACACGTCTCTTCTTCTTCCCGTCAGAATGAAACAGAGCTGACATGTTTGCACTCACTACATCTCACTCATTTCGAGCCCGAGGCCTGGACCAGCTTTGCCGCACCAACATAAAACATATAAAATATAGCATCAGATATAGGATGCCTTTTCTGCTGTAGTTTGGTCCCGGCAGTCAGTTATAACAATAATAATAATAATAGTTCAGTTTATTAGGGATGACAGTAACTCAGTTGGTAGAGCATTGGCTTTTGGGCCTGAAGGTCATGGTTTCGAGCCCACCAAAGGACCTAATTCATGACTCCCACTGATGTCTGCGGTCGTTGTGTCCTTGGGCGAGACACTTAACCCCACTTTGCCTGAAGCCCCCACTGAGAGCTCATGGCTCCTGTGGACTCACCTCCTGCAGGAGGATCAGTGAGTGGCTGGTGTTCTGTGTACTGGGTGTAGCTCAGACTGCCACCCCCCGACCCAGAAATGGATTAAGGGGAAGAAAATGGAGTTTATTTTATTATTATTGTCTCATACACATTACAGGCTCATACACATGCAGGGCTAATAAAATCGGCGATGAAGACTATTCCTCTCACACCCATATTAGCTCGATCTAGAGTCATGTCCAACATTCAAAACTGCCCATATGTACCTCCAAAGCCACCTAGGGTTTCCAATTCTCCTGATTCACCTAAAAAAAACACCTCAGCCAGTCCTTCCCCTACCTCATAACCATTCCACCCCCAATTCTTCCTCGTTCAACACCCAATACCTCCACCACAACCCACCCGTCCCCTAACCCATCGCCAAAAACCCCTCTACCTCCCCGTACCCCTCGTCCAACACCTTAAATTTAATTTAGTTAGCATAAATTTAGTTCCCTTAATCACAACAGCAGGACACCAACAGCAGATCAGAGACTCAAACACACAGGAGCAAATGGTCTATAGGGAGCGGGAAGACCACTGTCCAGAAATGTCCTGGATCATCACTGTCCTTAGATCCACCTGCATCAGCAAGGGACTTTGAGAAAACCAATAGTAAGAAAGTGAGAGACCAAGACTTGTTAACAAGTCTTTGAACAGGTGTCTGTGCTAAAGTCCCCTCAGAGGCGGACTCGGCCGGCTCAGTGGCGTTTCCTCAGCTGAGAGCAGAGTCCAGCGACACGTTCATCCTGATCGAGGCTCTCCTCATTAGCATGCGCAGGAGCCGAGCGGTGGCCCGGCAGGAAAAGCATTGCCATCATATCACTTTCAGATCTGCCAAATTAGAGCCGCTCACACCGAGGGGAAGACTGCTGCCGCTGCTCAGAATAGCTCTGTGCATATCCAATCAGGACAGAGCAGACAGACGCCCTCACAGCAATGCACCAGGGGAGAGGGTGAGGGGCCAATCAGCTGCCCTGACCATGTGAGGCCGGCCTTCTGTTCACAGAGCCTGCTCTGCTGTTCTGCTGGTTCTGCTGGTTCTGATGGTCCGGCTGTTCTGCTGATTCTGCTGGTTCTGGTTTCCCTGCTGGTCCTGCTGTTCTGTTGTTCAGCTGGTCCTGCTGAAGAGAGAGGACACACACTTCTGTCTGCTACAGCTCATATTGAGGAGCACTCATATATGTTTAGCAGAACTGAGATAAACTGAGCTGAGCCGCACTTCCACATTCAGTCCAGCTCCACGAGAAGCTCTGGATCTCCTGCAGTAGGTGCAGAGGTTTTACTTCCACATGAGCATTTTGACCAAATACAGTGCCACTGAAAGATAGACCAGAGTGAGAAACCAGGGAGCGAGAATGGAGATGTGAGTGTTCTGACCAATCAGAGTACCGTGAGCAGAGCGGAGCTAGAGCGGGGTGACTTTGAGCAGAGTTTGTGGCACCAAAGGGTGGATTTATAGAAAACAACATAAAAAACAATACAATACAATATGAACAATGCAGGGCATTTACAGCATAAATAATCACAGACGTTAAAACGGCAAAAAAGGTTTCTGTGCTCCTCAGAGTTTGAGTTGATAGGTGATTGTTTCCATCATGTAAGTCACAATACATCTGTGATATCACTAACATGTCACAGATCAGGACAGAGCAGACAGACACAGTCACAGCTGCGTCAGAGCCACAGGAAGCCAGTGCAGAGACCTGAGAACTGAACTGATGTGATCGAGCTTCCTAGTTGTAGTCAAGCAAGCTCATTAACTTGAGAAAACAATATCATTACATGTATTCTAACATTTAACCCAAGTTAAAATAAGTAATATCTGGACAAACATTCTCTAACTCAGAGGATCTCCACAAAAACATCCCAATGGCACATGTTCCAAAAGCATTCAGCCTTCATCTCTATAATGGAACAGGACAGAGAAATTCAGCACAGAGGGCTCTGTGAAGGAGGAGACTGTTTGAACTGTGTAATTTTGATTAAGAACAATGTTGTAAATCCGCCGAAAGATGGAATACAGTGAATTTTGTATAATGTTTGGCCTTTACTCCCCGCTGTAATGGAGTCCAGATAACCTCCTGGATCCTGGATAGAAGACCTGAGGCAGAGCTGCAGATAGGAGGCTCTGAGGGCCCTGTCGATGGGGAGATACGCCTGAGCGAGGGGAGCACTTTCATTCACAAGGAAAAGGAAAGAGTCGGAGGAAAGCGAGGGCACCATACCAGTAGCATCGGAGGAGCGAAGATTCAGTCAACAGAAGAAAGAGCTCTAAAAGCTTTTGTCGGCTGTGTAGGGATTATCAAGTGTTTGTGATTATTAGATTTATTTTAGAACATTTGGAATCTCTATGTTTATCCAAAACAATGTTATAAAAACAGTCACATATGTGGTCAGTCTTTCCATATTGCTCTGGTTATATCAAAGGCTCAGCCAAACATGCAGATCTAGAAAAAAAAAAAAACAATGGTGAACAATGTGGATATAAGCAGAGAGTGTGTGGTGGGGGTTAGAGGAGCTGACTCAAGAATGGTTCTCAAAACAGAGGTGAATCTGGCCGTTTATCTGCAGCTGTGTAATGGTTGCTCTCGGCCTTGACTCATGGGCTGCACCCCACCCTTGCCTGGGAGCCTCTTCTGTCCTGCAGCCTCAGTAATGGATCTACAGGCTTATCCCTGGATCTATAGCCTGTTTGTTCGTGGGAGCTCTCTCACCGTGGGCTACCCTAAAGGTTTTTTTTCTCCTCTAGGTCTCTGAGTGGTTGAAGAACAGCAATGATCTGGGACATCTCTGCACATGAATTAACATTTCTGGACAGTGGTCAATGACTCATATGTTCTTGTTGCTATTACATTTTCATCACCAAGTCCAGTGATGTATCAGTGTCTCATTCTGATTCCCCTGGTTAGGCAGCCGCTGATGGTATGTGCGCCGCGGCTACCGATCATTCTCAAAAGTACATAAAGGAAATGTGCCGACTAAAACTCTCAACTGGCCTCTGTAAACATTCAATATTTTTAGCTGTGCATACGACTGAGGGATTTTTACTTCACTCTTTTTAATGTGCTGTGATTATTTATGATTTTAATGCCTTGTTTTGTCAAGCACTTTAAGTTGCCGTATTTATGAACTGTGCCTTACAAATAAACTTGCCTTGACTGAAGCTGCAGATCGATAGGGGGGAGTAATTGTGGAGATCAGCGAAGCCTGCTCTGATGCAAACACTTGATTAAGAATGAGTCGAGGTCTGTGTTTAGTACTCTACAGTCGTGGTGCGGTTTGTGAGCGCTTGACCTGGAGCTGTCAGTCAGCATAAAGTGTGTGTGTGTGTATGTGTGTGTGTGTCTATTCTGTCAGATACCCAGAGATCAAGACCTTTGAACCATTACGGCAAAAGTTGTTTGGGAAAAAAGTAGTAAAATAAAACACAGGGATGGAACAATAATTTTGGGTTCAAGAATATTGCCCCCTCTTGGCATATTCACACACTGACATAAGATCCTTGTTTGAAATGAGAAAAAAATCTAATTTGATCAAGAAGTTTCAAAACTGCTGATGTCCCAAATAGTCCTTTTCATCATCGAGAATTCCTCTGTGTGTGTGTGTGTGTGTGTGTGTGTGTGTGTGTGTGTGTGTGTGTGTGTGTGTGTGTGTGTGTGTGTGTGTGTGTGTGTGTGTGTGTGTGTGTGTGTGTGTGTGTGTGTGTGTGTGTGTTTGTGTGTGTTTGTGTTTATTTCATTACGAGGGCTCCGTCATAGCACTCCTCCGTGAACCCAAGTGGAAAAGAAAAAATGAATGTCTCCTGCAGCAGCACCATCAACAACAACAGCAGTAGCTGCAGCAGTAGTAGTATCAGCAGCAGCAGTATCAGTAGCAGCAGTAGCAACAGTAGCAGTAGCAACAGTAGCAGTAGCAACAGTAGCAGCAGCAGTAGGAGCCGTAGCAGCAGCAGTAGCAGCAGTAGCAGTAGCAACAGTAGCAGCAGTAGCAGCAGTAGGAGCAGTAGCAGCAGCAGTAGCAACAGTAGCAGCAGCAGTAGCAGTAGCAACAGTAGCAGCAGCAGTGGCAGCAGTAGCAGTAGCAACAGTAGCAGCAGCAGTAGCAGCAGAAGTAGGAGCAGTAGCAGCAGCAGTAGCAGCAGTAGCAGCAGTAGCAGCAGCAGTAGCAGCAGCAGTAGCAGCAGTATCAGCAGTAGCAGCCTCATATCTCCTCCATCAGCAGACGGTGCAGATCCTGGCTCAGTGGGGGAGCGCCCGGTCCACAGACTTAGCTCATACTTCAAAAGCCTCTTCTAACGAGCGTCATGCTACAGCTGCTGGAAACATAAACGATTCAAGGCGTTGGTTTAAAAAGAACAGAAAGGATGCCTGTGTTTAAAGGACACGTATTACGCAAAAAAGTCTTTGTGAGTTTTTTTAACTCACTTACCACAATGTTAGGAACCTTGGAGAGAAGCACAAATTGATATACAGTAGGGAAAAAATAAAGTGTTTAGTAAGCCACTAATTGTGCAAGATCTCCCAATTGGTGGCTGACTAAATACTTTTTTGCCCCACTGTACTCTTGGGTAGACGTGGAAAAAACAAGAAATGAATAGCAGGAATCAGGTCTATATGGAAATTTTGACTTGACAATGCTTGTGAGTCAAATGATTTGTTTTATAAGATAGCCCCTCCAGAGACCAGAGACCAGAGGACCAGAGACCAGAGACCAGAGGTCCAGTCTGTGCCTCGTTTACAAAGATAAGAATTTTAAAGTATCTTCTACAACAGGCTTAAGTCGGTGTAGAAAATATTAACAGGTGTGATGTCACATGCAGTGATGGGAAGTAGTGTCGCTATAAGTAGCAACGCTAAGAGCTTAACTACATTTTTCAGTAGCTTGACAGTAACTATTTACAAAACCAAGTAACTGTTCTGTAGCTAAGCTATTTTATTGATCAAGTAAAACAGTAGCGTCCTTCAAAGACATTTCTGATGTTCATATATTACTGCATTTTCCCGCAGCCTTAATACAAACAAATTAGGCAGAATGCTAATGCGCATGCGTAGGCACACAAACACACACACGCACATGTACACACACATGCATGTGTGCTGCTGGAGGGAAGCGACGGGATGGGAGCGAGCCCAGGAGCCGCGGTCGAGGAGTTTCAAAATGTTATACCGTGGCCTTACTTCCAACAGTCGAGACGAGCGAAATTTAGTACTGTATGTTTTTCAGATGCCTACTTTGTAATCCCAAGAGAAAGTTCCTGTCGATGTCAACAACATCAAACATACGAGCACACCATAGACAATGGTAGTTTTTATTGTTTTTATAAACAAGTCAGACATAGTTTTTAGCACAATTCATTTGTAATCTTATATGTATATATTTTGTTTCCATTTCAGAGGGCATTCTTGCTTTAATAGAGCCATTCATTGGCTCTGATTCACATTTGTTATGTGTACATTGGGTAATTGTTATAAACTATTTTATTTAAAATTGCAAAAGGCATTCTTGTGTTTTGTTTTTGGTGTTTTGGGCTATTATTCAAAAAAATATCAAAACTTTAACCTTTTTCTGACTGACAGTTGTATTTATCACTAAAATTGAATGGACTGCAGTTTGTTTAATTGAAAGTAGCTTCTATATATCAAGCTACTTTTGACAGGATTTTGTAACTTAGCTTGCTACATTTTTATGGTGGTAGCTTCTGTAGTGAAGGTGAATCTATTGTAGAGTAGCTTGTAGCTTAGCTCACTACAAAATTCAAGTAGCTGTGTTTTGAATCAGTTTCAGGTGTCTTGTGCTTTTTGCACGATAAATGCCATAGATAATCCAATGTATGATAGAGACTATTGCACTGTACTAGTAGTGTAGTGTGTAGTTGTAAGTTCAGTGAATATGTTCAGAAAGCATTGATAGTCCTACACAACAAAGTGCATGGTATTGTAGTGTCTTTAACTAGCGCTCAATAATGCTGTGTCTTCCTTTCACCATCTCATCTATTACTGTTTACCTGTTTTGCTTAGCATATTAGCTGCTAATAGCCATCTAGATATGTTTTTTGTTTGCTGGCGGTGGGCTCTGTGGCTGCACTTTTACGTTAACATTATTGACAGATAGTCCGACAAATCGTTATATTCTCTCTCAACCTGCAGAAAAAACGTTATTTTACCTAGCATTGGCTATAGAGTTGTGGGTGATGATTGCGCAGATGACCTATGAGGTTTAAGGCATTGCTGCCTTTAGCTGAAACTTTTTTGTGCACATTCTGCAGACCCAATAGTTGTCTTCCATCAGATATCCCTCGGTATTCTTAGAAAATCCAAAATATGCCCACACTTCAGACTTTGTCCTGAGGTTGTATACAGAATGCGCCCTCGCGGCAACCTCAGCAGACTCAGTTGCGCCGGGGAAAGGCCGACACCGCGGGCACCTCCTTAATCCACCGAGAAAATATCTCTTTTGTTTATTAAGACGGTAAATGTAATTGTCAAAATTTTGACCAGGGTGTATTGTCCAGTCAACATCAAAGCCAATTCACTCCTGGCTAAATATACATTTTTTACAGCGTGTGTGCAATGTTCTCACACCATCTTTTCTTTTTCTTTTTTTTTTTTCTCAGTTTCTTGTCTCAATGATTTGTTCTTAATTTAGATCACAAGCGGTCTTTCCTTGGACTTTGTAATCAAAACCTGAGAAGCTGGAGCCTTTGAATCCTTCCCCATGGAGGCTAATTAACCTTTTTTCAAGTGTGCGTGAGTGTGTGCTTATGTGTGTGTACATGTGTGAGTGTGTACACATGTGAGTGTGTGTACATATGTGTGTAGGTATGCTTTAGACCCAAAGCGCAGCAGGAGCTCTGACATTTCCTCTTCTCTCTCTTCAGCTGGCCTTCGTAAGTCTTTAGGAGGTATAGAGCAGGAGATTAGTCCTTTGCTCAGCTTTCACTCTTGGCTAATGAGTCACGCGCACTGCTTGTTATGTACAAAAGGTGTTTAAGTCCTTATGGAGATGTTGAAGCCACAGAGCCAAACACCTTGTTCAGCTAAGAAATAATACTATACATGTTTGATGCTTACACTATTACTATTGTTCTAGTTACTGTGGGGAGGAGGGGCGTGCGCTCCTATAGCAGCAGCTCCTAAAGGGCCAGTGTTTACATGAAGGACTTCAAAGTGCCATAACAAGCAGGCGTGCACACAGGCCCATAGGACGTGTAAATTCAGCATAAC